TCATCCTATTAAACAAGGATAGCTGCACATGCAATTTACTGCACACATTTTAATGTACATAATCACTGTATGTATCATACCATAATCCTTCTGAACAATCCTTTTACACTTATTGCATGCACTATACACACACACACACACACACACACACACACATATATATATATATATATGTGTGTGTGTGTATTGTTTCTTGTGGACCTGTTTGGTATTGTAATATTTGTGGATTACTAAGATATCCACTTGATTAAATGATCGGATTAATTAATTTAGGTTTTTTTCTACAGTTGTGAGTATGTGTCCATCGCTCTCTCTCTCTCTGTTGTACAGTCAGTGTGAGGTTGGTGGATGGTGGCAGTCGCTGTGCTGGGAGAGTGGAGGTTCTTCATAGAGGACAGTGGGGAACAGTGTGTGATGATGGCTGGGATATGAGAGATGCTGCAGTGGTGTGTAGAGAGCTGGGCTGTGGAGAGGCTGTAGATGCACTAAGTGATGCTCACTTTGGACCAGGATCAGGACCAGTCTGGATGGACAGTGTGGACTGTAGTGGATCAGAAACTATATTGAAGCACTGTAGATCTAGAAGGTTGAGTAGACATGACTGTGATCACAGTTCAGCTGCTGGAGTCATCTGCTCAGGTAAACGAAAGAAATTTAAATTACCACCACATGTCACCATTGTCCATGTTTCATTCTTCTTCAAACTAGTAATATCTTGCTTTAGGTTAATTCAGTGGCAACTCACCCAGGATTTTTTAAGCTGTGAAGTCATTTTGAACTCACAGTGTGGCTTCAAAACACTGCATGTGTGAATTGAATCACTCATAGGTTTGAGAGGAATTTAGAAATACTACATTAAATTTATTTTTGAAAGTAACTGTACACCTCATTTAAAAAATGACAATTGACAATCTTGTATGCAGTTAAGAATAGGATCTGACAAACTTAATGTGACATTTTATGCATCTTTTCAGTATTTAATTTCTCTTTGGACTTTCTAAAGAATCACAGTCCATGGGTTCCTTTTTTGTGTATGTTTTACAAACCCATTTCCAAAGAAAAACAGTGATCTGAACTGAATTCTATTTAGCCTGCATTAAATTGAAAATAAATAAATAAATAAATAAATAAAAACAACATATCGCTGCTGTCGGAAGAAAACCATGTATCTCCATTATTGTCGTTTTCCAGTTTTTGACATAATTTGAAAATAGCTGTTGGCATTTACATTGTACGTAAATTTCATGAAGAATGGACCAAAAGAAACAGCCCAAAATGACTTGGAAAAAAAGTCTGGTTCCATTGACTTACATTAAAAGTAATGTGTGTTTTTTCATTTTGGAGATATGAGGTTTTTGTCCGACAACAGCGATATATGAAGATATCTGAAGAGCCATTTCACCATGCAGAGACCCATTTAATCAAGCAAATGGTTCTTTGAGTGTTCATAGTTCAATATAGAACCATTTTCTTTACTAAAGAACCCTTGAAAAAACATCATTTTTTAAGAGTGTAGCTCAAGCAGTTTGCATTAATGTCCCTGTGGTTACTGAAAAATAAGCATTAGTATGTAATAAGCCTGGGATTTTAAGGGGTTAACTTTCCAGTGTTTATCAGTCTATTTCAGATAATTTAAAGTGCATAGAAAAAGTGCAGAGAAATTGACAGTGTTTGTGGACTTTGTTGGCATCCACTGTGCACAGTACAGTCTTAATTTGCATTTGTGCATGCAGCACGGAACAGTATTTATTGACAACAGTTTATTTTTATATTTACAAGCCTACGTGGTGATATCCATCACAAGCATGCCAGATTTTAATGCAGCACCATTTGAAGGTCGCTGGCATTCAGTTGTGGTTTTTGGCTGTTTTTATGCACAGAGAGTTTACCATTGATTATTGAGAAACATTGCTTTTAAATTGTTGTATTTTTGCTGATGCATTTTTTGGCAGAGTGGTGAGCCTCAACCCATCCTTGCTTATAAAAAATGAAACTTTACTGGAAGCCCTTTTTATATCCAAGCATGGTTACATGACTTCTTTTAAAATGTTTTTTGTGAACATTTAACACTTTTCCTAGTCTTAGATTGCCCCATACATCTTTTTTAGAATGTGCTTCAGTCATCAATTTCAGAATGAGCATTTATTTACAAAAAACTATGAAGTTAGCAATATAAAACATTAATATGTTGTATTTGTCTTTCATTTCAGTATAGGTCACAGTGGATTAATAAATTGCTGCCTTCTATTTTAATTTGTATTTCATAATTCACTTTCCCAAAATTTGGAATTGGGTTTATATGGGGATTTACATTTTCAGGAGTCAGGCTGGTTAATGGTTCTCGCTGTTCTGGGAGAGTGGAGGTGCTTCATGGAGAGACCTGGTCCACAGTTTGTGAAGCTGACTTTGACCAGCAGGATGCAGAGGTTGTGTGTCGAGAGCTGGGCTGTGGGCTTCCTGTGGAGGTGCTGGGAGCAGCTGCTTTTGGCAGAGGGGAGGGTCAGGTGTGGTCAGAGGAGCTTCAGTGTAGAGGCAACGAATCTCAGATTCACTTCTGTCCAACATTGTCATCACTCAAACACAACTGCACCCATGATAATGATGTGGGACTAGTTTGTAAAAGTAAGAGGGTATTTTTCTAACTCACATTGCATTGTAACACATGAAGCACAAGTCATACAATTATCTCTGATTATGTCTCACCATATTATCTTCTGTCTGGGCTGCTTTTTTCATTGTTTTTTGCCCCCCAGATAGTGTGAGGTTGGTGGATGGTGGTAGTCGCTGTGCTGGGAGAGTAGAGGTTCTTCATAGAGGACAGTGGGGAACAGTGTGTTGTCGTGGCTGGGATATGAGAGCTGCTGCAGTTGTGTGTGGAGAGCTAGACTGTGGGGAGCCGTTAAGTATAGATCTTACTGTACCAGGATCAGGACCAATCTGGATGAGTCATGTGGACTGCAGTGGATCAGAGTCTACACTGAAACACTGTGGATCACTGGGATGGGGTGAACATACCTGTTACCATTATATAGATATTGAAGTGATCTGTTCAGGTATGCATCAATTACTCTTAATAACAATTACCAGTCCTTTAATATAATGAATTTTAATCTTTCTCATGCATAAATTTGGACAATTAATATAAATGAAATTCATAAATATTAAATATTATTACATTTTAAACCGCAAATATGGATTTTTAAGTTAAAGTTAATACTAATTAAATATACGATGTATTGAATACTACTTGTTGTTTTTAAGGATCTTATTTATTATTTTTTTTGTCTTGATTCTTTTTTGTATTTTTGTAATTCTTCTACTGTTAAGTGTGCTTTGCAAAGTCTTGTCTCTGAATTACACAAAGGTAACAGAAAGCCCAGATTTACTGGTGGTTCTCATCTGTGCTCTGGGAGAGTGGAGGTGCTTCATGGAGATACCTGGTTCACAGTGTGTGATACAGACTTTGACCAGCAGGATGCAGAGGTTGTGTGTCGAGAGCTGGGCTGTGGGCTTCCTGTGGAGGTGCTGGGAGCAGCTGCTTTTGGCAGAGGGGAGGGTCAGGTGTGGTCAGAGGAGCTTCAGTGTAGAGGCAATGAATATGACATTACTCTATGTCCAACATCCTCTTCACTCAAACACAACTGTTCCCATAACAGTGATGTGGGTCTAATATGTTCTGGTAAAGCATAAAATTCAAGCTTTCCAAAATATGCAATTATTTATTCACATTCAAGTAATAAAGTCTCTGCTTTCTTTTGACATGCTGTTTTAATTAGCTTTTCATTATATTCTCAGGTCACACTGGAGCTCAGCTGGTGAACGGCTCTGACTCCTGTTCTGGTCGAGTGGAGCTCCAGTACCTTAGTGAATGGGGCACAGTGTGTGATGTAAGCTGGGATTTGAGAGCTGCCAGTGTCCTCTGTGGTCAGCTGAAGTGTGGGAGTGCTGTGGCTGTGTTGGGGTCAGACTGGTTTGGGGAGGGGAGTGGCCAGATCTGGGCTGATGTGTTTAATTGTCAGGGGAACGAAACACACCTGTCAAAATGTCCCATTTCATCATGGAGTCGAACTGCATGCTCTCATAAACAGGATGCTGGAGTCATCTGCAGTGGTGAGCTCTCAGATTCATTTAGTCACATGTGTCAGGCTCCAGTCCTCACAGGCCAAAACACTGCAGACTTTAGCACACTGCCTCATTAAACACACCTGATTCAGCTCATCAGCTAAGTAGCATTAACTGAATTCAGTGTGTTAGATGAGGGTAAAAGCTAATCTCTTGGCCTGGAAAATCCCTGCCTGATTTAGTCCATGGTAACACTTTATTTTGAGTGCTCCTTTGTGGATGATTAATAAACTCTTAACAAAGTATCAGTAACAAATCAACCGCATACCAGTAAAGAAGCAGTAGTGAAGCATCTGAATACATTGAGGTAAATATCTTGAAGATGTGTTGTTGATACATTACTTACTTTAAGTAGATTTATTGTTGATGTGTTACATAAAGTAGACTTAATGTTACTCCTATTACGCAAAACCTAACCTTACCCCACCTTACCAAACACCTAACCCAGTTAAGCCCCAGTTAGAGAATGGTGTCAGCAGCATGTCTATAACAGCTTGTTGAGGATGTTGAGATGGGCTGTATTAGACCTGTTACATGTTCAATCCTCTCATGTAAACCTTTACAGAAATGAAGTTGAACACTCCAAATAAAGTGAAAAACAACTGAATTCAGCAGATTATACACACATTTTATTGATGTAGTCAATGAAATGTCTTTTGATAACATACTGTATGTATTCACTGAAGCTACATTGTTGTGTTATTTTACTGAGGGACTTCTTTAAAAAAGGACGCTAAGAAGGACCACTCAAACCAATGCGTTGTCAAAATCAAAAATGCTTTCGTTTTCAAGTTTTCAATGCTTCAAGTTTTTTTTTCTCTTCAGGTTCCTCGCTGGCATTTCATGAGGAGCGAGTGCGGTTATCTGGAGGGATGGATTGTAAGGGGCAGGTGGAGGTGTACTTCTGGCAGGACTGGAGGGGAGTTCTGCTGGACTCCTGGAGTGAGTCTGTGGCCTCTGTGGTCTGCAGACAGCTGGGCTGTGGCTCTGTGCTCAACTTCTCCAGCTCCCCTCCATCCAGTCCTGAACACAGACACATGTGTGTGATGGGTTTCAGTTGTTCTGGGAGTGAAGCACATCTGGGGAACTGCAGCAGCGCACAAGCAGTCAACTGCAGCTCCAGAGAACAGCTCTCAATCACCTGCTCTGGTAAGAATTACAGCAGTTAAATATGAAAACTAGCTAATAAGCTTCCTTACATAATGCTTTCTTTGCGTTTGTGTAGGTAAGTTTAATTCAGCTCACAGCTCCATCAGGCTGGTTGGTTCTGGGGGAGACTGTGCAGGAAGGCTGGAGGTTTTCCACAGCGGCTCATGGGGGACAGTGTGTGATGACTTGTGGGATATTAAGGATGCGCAGGTGGTGTGTAGACAGCTGCAGTGTGGAGTGGCCCTCAGTGCTCCGGTACCAGCCCGGTTTGGACCGGGAACTGGACCCATATGGCTGAATGAGGTGGAGTGTGAGGGGAACGAGACGTCCCTGTGGAACTGCAGATTTCAGCTGTGTGGAGAGGATGAATGTGGACACAAGGAGGACGTAGGAATCATTTGCTCAGGTAAAGTGATATGAAGTTAAAGTTAAATTTGTGCAAGCAAGTAAAGTTTAACATTATCACAGAATGCTAGATATTTAACAAATGAATAAACCATTTCTAAAACATCCATAAACATATGTGATAAAAGCTCAAGTAGAAATCACAATTCTCTCACCAGAGTTTAAAGAGATAAGACTCACAGAGGGCTGTGAGGGGAATCTGGAAGTGTTCTACAATGGAACCTGGGGTAATGTGTGTGTAAATGGGATGAATAAAGAAACTGCAAGATTCATTTGTCAAGAGCTGAACTGTGGAAGATCTGGCAGTCAGAGGGCTTCCAAAGCAAGTGTGGAATCAGCTCCTAACTGGCTGGATGATCTGAAATGTAGGAAACATGACTCCACTCTGTGGCACTGTCCATCTTCACCCTGGAGACAGAACAAATGTGACAATAGCAATGAGGTGGCTCACATTACCTGTTCAGGTAGGCAGCTTGGATTGGTTTTGTATGTTGATATTAATATATTGTTTTCTGTTATTTTATTATGCTAGCAATAAACTGAATTAAATAAAAAAAAATAATAATAAATTTAGAATTAAAACAGGCTTAAATATCTAAACAAGGAAAAGTTCAGTGATTATTATGGTTATCTTTTCATATTTACAGAAAAGGAAAGTGATCGTGTGTTACAGCATACGAAATACTCTTCATCTCTTCATTGCAGACAGTGTTCAAGTAAGTACACATGCAGAGAAAAACACAAATGTCACAAGTGTTGCACCTCTTCTTCACACAAATGTTAATGGTATATTAATCTGTTTGTTTCAATCACAGTGAACATCTGTATGGTACAATGTGGCTGTATTGTCGAGTTCTATGACTACACTAGCTCATCAGTTCATTGTCTCCTCATGTGTGATGTGTGTGATTTAGATCGCCTGCCTCTCAGGCTGAGAGGAGGAAAGGGAAACTGCTCTGGGAGGCTGGAGGTGTATCACAATAAAACATGGGGGTCTGTCTGTGATGATCTGTGGAACATCAGGGATGCTCAGGTGGTCTGCAGGCAGCTGGGCTGTGGGCCGGCGCTGAGTGCTGATGGGAGTGCTGTCTTTGGTGCTGGTGAAGGGCCTATCTGGCTAAACAGAGTGAAGTGTAGAGGGAATGAGATTCACCTGTGGGACTGTCCTCATTCCCTGAAGAACCACACTGACTGCTCCCACAGGCAGGACGCTGGAGTCACCTGTGCAGGCCTGCTTAATTTTTGAGTCTCCAATCAAATCATGTTTATCCCAGTGTTAATTATCTGCAAGGCTTTGATTCTGATACTTCTCAAATGTTAGAACCGGAATACCCCCTTCCATTAAAACCCCATTTTAGAAGTGTCTGTCTTCCTCTTTTGTTTCTGTATTTACAGAAAGGAATGAGCCCCCCACTATGACACTTACAAAAGCTGCTGCATCCATCACCACTGGTACTGTTTCATTTATCTAAAATGTCTCTGAATAGATTGTTCAGTTCTCTACACAGTTTCTGTATTTGTTTGTATTTTCATGTCCAGTGCATCAGACATCAGAGAGGACAGTCACTCCTCCAGCTGTTCCATTCATCCATCCAGTGTCTCTCCTAGTTCTGGGAGCGGTGCTCTTCCTGGCCTTAGTGCTTCTGGTTGTGCTGATTTACCAGAACAGAGTGCTCAGGAGAGGTAGAGAGATTCAGAGATCATCTACCATCCACTTTCTGGACATTCTCTGAATTTTTCCTTCAATCATCAATCTTCTTGTCCACTGAACTGGTTTAGTGTTTCTCTTTGTTTCCTTCACAGGGCTCTCTAAGAGGATGGAGAATGTAGTCTATGAAGGCCAGAGAAGAGTGTTTGAGGGCGTCTGTGAAGGCTTGAGTAGGGGCACTGAGAGAGTCTACGAGGAGATTTACTGCAATTTCAATACTGAAAGAACCATTCAAAGGGGTGAGTGTCCTACATGAGACTTACTGTGGTGTATTTTTACTCATAATATTTGAAGATTAATTGCATTCAGTTGATCAATGACCAAAGTTCACATGCATTTTTATTTGGTGACTATTTTAAGTGGTCCTTTTTTAAGATTAAATAAACACTCAACAGACTGTAAGTACCATATCAACAACATATTAATGATGAAGCACCAGTAAATACATTCAGTAGATCTGTAGACTTTTAATTAACAACGTACATAAAATTTGTTTAAATTGACTGCTGAATTCAGTTGTTTTTCACGTTATTGTCAAAATGTTATGTCAAAATTCATATCTGTAGATGTTAACTTGAGAGGTCACTGAACTTGTAACGGATCAATTTCAACATCCTTAATAAGCTGTTATAGACAAGCTGCTGACACCATTCTGTAAGTAGATCTTAAATGACTTAAGTTTTGTGTAAGGTTAGATTTTGGGTTTTGAGGTTAGGTTTTTGGTAAGGTCGGGTATGGTTAGGTTATTGGTACGGTCAGATAAGGTTAGGTTTTGGGTAAGGTCGGGTAAGGTTAGGTTTTGGTAAGGTCGGGTAAGGTTAGGTTTTTGGGCTGGGTCGGTATGGTTAGGTTTTGGGTAAGGTCGGGTGAGGTTAGGTTTTTGGTAAGGTCGGGTATGGTTAGGTTTTGGGTTAGGTTGGGTGAGGTTATGTTTTGGGTAAGGTCGGGTAAGGTTAGGTTTTGGGTTAGGTTGGGTGAGGTTATGTTTTGGGTAAGGTCGGGTAAGGTTAGGTTTTGGGTAAGGTCGGGTGAGGTTAGGTTTTGGGTAAGGTCGGGGAAGGTTAGGTTTTGGTAAGATCGGGTGAGGTTAGGTTTTGGGTGAGGTCAGGTGAGGTTAGGTTTTGGTAAGGTCGGGTATGGTTAGGTTTTGGTAAGGTCAGATAAGGTTAGGTTTTAGGTAAGGTCAGGTGACGTTAGATTTTGGGTAAGGTTGGGTAAGGTTAGGTTTGGGTAAGAACGGGTATGGTTAGGTTATTGGTACGGTCAGATAAGCTTAGGTTTTGGGTAAGGTCGGGTAAGGTTAGGTTTTGGGTAAGGTCGGGTGAGGTTAGGTTTTGGGTAAGGTCTGGTAAGGTTAGGTTTTGGGTTAGGTTGGGTGAGGTTATGTTTTGGGTAAGGTCGGGTATGGTTAGGTTTTGGTAAGGTCGGGTAAGGTTAGGTTTTGGGTTAGGTTGGGTGAGGTTAGGTTTTGGGTAAGGTCGGGTATGGTTAGGTTTTGGGTTAGGTTGGGTGAGGTTATGTTTTGGGTTAGGTTGGGTGAGGTTAGGTTTTGGGTAAGGTCGGGTAAGGTTAGGTTTTGGGTAAGGTCGGGTGAGGTTAGGTTTTGGGTAAGGTCGGGTAAGGTTAGGTTTTGGTAAGGTCGGGTGAGGTTAGGTTTTGGATAAGGTCGGGTAAGGTTAGGTTTTTGGGTAGGGTCGGTATGGTTAGGTTTAGGGTAAGGTCGGGTGAGGTTAGGTTTTTGGTAAGGTCGGGTATGGTTAGGTTTTGGTAAGGTCAGATAAGGTTAGGTTTTAGGTAAGCTCAGGTGACGTTAGATTTTGGGTAAGGTTGGGTAAGGTTAGGTTTGGGTAAGAACCGGCATGGTTAGGTTATTGGTACGGTCAGATAAGGTTAGCTTTTGGGTAAGGTCGGGTAAGGTTAGGTTTTGGGTAAGGTCGGGTGAGGTTAGGTTTTGGTAAGATCGGGTGAGGTTAGGTTTTGGGTAAGGTCAGGTGAGGTTAGGTTTTGGTAAGGTCGGGTGAGGTTAGGTTTTGGGTAAGGTCGGGTTAGGTGAGGTTTTGGGTAAGTTCGGGTAAGGTTAGGTTTTGGGTAAGGTCAGGTGAGGTTACGTTTTGGGTAAGGTTGGGTAAGGTTAGGTTTTGGTAAGGTTGGGTGAAGTTACGTTTTGGGTAAGGTCGGGTAAGGTTAGGTTTTGGGTTAGGTTGGGTGAGGTTATGTTTTTGGTAAGGTCGGGTAAGGTTAGGTTTTGGGTAAGGTCGGGTGAGGTTAGGTTTTGGGTAAGGTCGGGTAAGGTTAGGTTTTGGGTAAGGTCGGATAAGGTTAGGTTTTGGGTAAGGTCGGGTAAGGTTAGGTTTTGGTAAGGTCAGATAAGGTTAGGTTTTAGGTAAGGTCAGGTGACATTAGATTTTGGGTAAGTTTGGGTAAGGTTAGGTTTTGGTAAGGTCGGGTGAGGTTACGTTTTGGGTAAGGTTGGGTGAGGTTAGGTTTTGGTAAGGTTGTGTGAAGTTACGTTTTAGGTAAGGTCGGGTAAGGTTAGGTTTTGGGTTAGGTTGGGTGAGGTTATGTTTTGGGTAAGGTTGGGTAAGGTTAGGTTTTGGGTAAGGTCGGGTGAGGTTAGGTTTTGGGTAAGGTCGGGTAAGGTTAGGTTTTGGGTACGGTCGGGTGAGGTTAGGTTTTGGGTAAGGTCGGGTGAGGTTAGGTTTTATGTAAGTTTGGCAAGGTTAGGTTTTGGGTAAGGTCTGGTGAGGTTACGTTTTGGGTAAGGTTGGGTAAGGTTAGGTTTTGGTAAGGTTGGGTGAAGTTAGGTTTTGGGTAAGGTCGGGTATGGTTAGGTTTTGGTAAGGTCGGGTAAGGTTAGGTTTTTGGGTAGGGTCGGTATGGTTAGGTTTAGGGTAAGGTCGGGTGAGGTTAGGTTTTTGGTAAGGTCGGGTAAGGTTAGGTTTTGGTAAGGTCAGATAAGGTTAGGTTTTAGGTAAGCTCAGGTGACGTTAGATTTTGGGTAAGGTTGGGTAAGGTTAGGTTTGGGTAAGAACCGGCATGGTTAGGTTATTGGTACGTTCAGATAAGCTTAGCTTTTGGGTAAGGTCGGGTGAGGTTAGGTTTTGGTAAGATCGGGTGAGGTCAGGTTTTGGGTAAGGTCAGGTGAGGTTAGGTTTTGGTAAGGTCGGGTGAGGTTATGTTTTGGGTAAGGTCGGGTGAGGTTAGGTTTTGGGTAAGTTCGGGTAAGGTTAGGTTTTTGGTAAGGTCGGGTGAGGTTACGTTTTGGGTAAGGTTGGGTAAGGTTAGGTTTTGGTAAGGTTGGGTGAAGTTACGTTTTAGGTAAGGTTGGGTAAGGTTAGGTTGGGTGAGGTTATGTTTTGGGTAAGGTCGGGTAAGGTTAGGTTTTGGGTTAGGTTGGGTGAGGTTAGGTTTTTGGGTAAGGTCGGTATGGTTAGGTTTTGGTAAGGTCGAGTGAGGTTAGGTTTTGGTAAGGTCGGGTGAGCTTAGGTTTTGGGTAAGGTCGGGTAAGGTTAGGTTTTGGGTAAGGTCGGGTATGGTTAGGTTTTGGGTAAGGTCGGGTAAGGTTAGGTTTTTGGGTAGGGTCGATATGGTTAGGTTTAGGGTAAGGTCGGGTGAGGTTAGGTTTTGGGTAAGGTCGGGTAAGGTTAGGTTTTGGGTAAGGTCGGGTAAGGTTAGGTTTTGGTAAGGTCGGGTGAGGTTAGGTTTTGGGTTAGGTTGGGTGAGGTTAGGTTTTTGGGTAGGGTCGATATGGTTAGGTTTAGGGTAAGGTCAGGTGAGGTTAGGTTTTTGGTAAGGTCGGGTATGGTTAGGTTTTGGTAAGGTCAGATAAGGTTAGGTTTTAGGTAAGGTCAGGTGACGTTAGATTTTGGGTAAGGTTGCGTAAGGAAAGGTTTGGGTAAGAACCGGCATGGTTAGGTTATTGGTACGGTCAGATAAGGTTAGCTTTTGGGTAAGGTCGGGTAAGGTTAGGTTTTGGGTAAGGTCGGGTATGGTTACGTTTTGGGTAAGGTCGGGTAAGTTTAGGTTTTGGGTTAGGTTGGGTGAGGTTATGTTTTGGGTAAGGTCGGGTAAGGTTAGGTTTTGGGTAAGGTCGGGTGAGGTTAGGTTTTGGGTAAGGTCGGGTAAGGTTAGGTTTTGGTAAGATCGGGTGAGGTTAGGTTTTGGGTAAGGTCGGGTGAGGTTAGGTTTTGGTTAAGTTTGGCAAGGTTAGGTTTTGGGTAAGGTCGGGTGAGTTTACGTTTTGGGTAAGGTTGGGTAAGGTTAGGTTTTGGTAAGGTTGGGTGAAGTTAGGTTTTGGGTAAGGTCGGGTATGGTTAGGTTTTGGTAAGGTCGGGTAAGGTTAGGTTTTGGGTTAGGTTGGGTGAGGTTATGTTTTGGGTTAGGTTGGGTGAGGTTATGTTTTGGGTAAGGTCCGGTAAGGTTAGGTTTTTGGGTTACGTTGGGTGAGGTTATGTTTTGGGTAAGGTCGGGTAAGGTTAGGTTTTGGGTAAGGTCGGGTAAGGTTAGGTTTTGGTAAGGTCGGGTGAGGTTAGGTTTTGGGTAAGGTCGGGTAAGGTTAGGTTTTTGGGTAAGGTCGGTATGGTTAGGTATTGGGTAAGGTCGGGTAAGGTTAGGTTTTGGGTAAGGTCGGTATGGTTAGGTATTGGGTAAGGTCGGGTAAGGTTACGTTTTGGGTAAGGTCGGGTGAGGTTAGATTTTGGGTAAGGTTGGGTAAGGTTAGGTTTTGGGTAAGGTCGGTATGGTTAGGTATTGGGTAAGGTCGGGTAAGGTTAGGTTTTGGTAAGGTCAGGTGAGGTTAGGTTTTGGGTAAGGTCGGGTAAGGTTAGGTTTTTGGGTAAGGTCGGTATGGTTAGGTATTGGGTAAGGTCGGGTAAGGTTAGGTTTTGGGTAAGGTCGGGTGAGGTTAGATTTTGGGTAAGGTTGGGTAAGGTTAGGTTTTAGTAAGGTCGGGTATGGTAAGGTTATTGGTACGGTCAGATAAGGTTAGGTTTTGGGTAAGGTCAGGTAAGGTTAGGTTTTGGGTAAGGTTGGGTAAGGTTAGGTTTTGGGTAAGGTCGGGTAAGGTTAGGTTTTGGGTTAGGTTGGGTGAGGTTATGTTTTGGGTAACGTCGGGTAAGGTTAGGTTTTGGGTAAGGTCGGGTGAGGTTAGGTTTTGGGTACGGTCAGGTAAGGTTAGGTTTTGGTAAGGTCAGGTGAGGTTGGGTTTTGGTAAGGTCGGGTAAGTCGGGTAAGGTTAGGT